GGGGGGGGGCATTGTTCTAACTGACCACTAATGTAGGGAGTCCTTCCCCCACTGGTCACCAATCCCCAAGCCTCCTATTTTCTGAACTGCACAGTGGTAGGGTCCTATTTCAGATGCCTGATTATGTGGACACTTCCCATTGGCTATCCATCTGCGGGGTCCTCTCAGATCCTAAAAATTCCAGTGATTACATCACAACAAAGGGGGGAAACAAGACCACTTGGAAGCAGGTGCGGACTTCAGCAGTGGATCACTGTGTCTTGTACTCCCATTCAAAAAATGTATGGTTGCAGCTCCATCACACGGTGTGATTTGTAAATGGGCAAGTGTAGATGGTGGTGGAAACACTACACCAGCACAGATGCCTACCAAACACAGCATCATTATCAGCTGAGAAATAGTAATCCTCTACAATCTCTGGAATGTATAACCGCATGATCCTTTTTGTTTTTTGTGTTTTATTATTTGTAGATAGCGGAATCACAGGCCGGCACAGAGTCCCCAATAGAAGAAGAGGACATTCCCCGGAGGTCACCTGTGAGTCATTAGATATAAGTAGCATGAGTATTTGTACAACAGAGTGATTTGGTTTGGTTTACCATTTTCCTCAGGCAACATTAAAGTGACATTAAACCCTCAGATTTTTTAACATAAACCAATACTGTAATGTGCGCCTTACTGTAATCCATGGTAGTTTCCCTTCTCTTTGCTGCTCTTCCTTTTAAAACCTTCTCTCTTCTCATGCTGGGCAGAACTGCTCTTTGCAGCTGAGTGCCTCTTCCTGTAGTGCTGGCTCAATTTGTGAACCTTCACACAGACACCATGTATCCATTTCAGAGACAAGGCAGTCTGCTGCAAAACAGAAGTTCTGCCCAGCATGAGAAGAGATACAGATTTAAAAGGAAGAGCAGCAAAGAGAAGGGAAACAACCATGGATTACAGTAAGGCGCACATTACAGTATTAGTTTCTAACTATGCAGCGCCAGCAAGAATAATAAACAAACTAAATGGATGTGTTTAACTTAACAGTAAACTGTGATCAGCGACATATCGTGAATCAATCAACGAAAAATCGGTGTGGATCAGTGTGTCCAAAATTGTTATAACAGATATACATCAATAATTGTGAAATAAAAAGCAAATATAAAAAATTAAACTGTGTTATGTGCTTTTTTCTTATAAACCGCAAATACCCCGGACATACAATCCCCCAGGGTCCTTGGAGTGATTAGTGTTGGTGTAAAAAAACACCGTAAATAGCGATAAAGTGTTCCAGGTGCACAAAACTTGTGAGTTGATGTGAAAGTTCCGTGAAGCTTGTTGGGGATGTGGGCTAGTGCCGTACGTATCCCCTCAAAGTGTGCACTCATCGTGATGTAGTGGCTGTGGTAAGCAGCCAGAAGCGCTTAAATGAAAGCTCCCAGAGCCGCAGCGTCCTCACCGCGTCTCTCAACGATCAGTGACCAGCAAGCGGTGTGTCTCCACAGTCATATAAAGAAAGAGCCTTTCATTGTATAACAGTTTCCAAAAGGGGCTTTATTTGAATCTAATAAAAACAGAGTAACGAAAACCAAGATTTTCCAGCCGGCAAAGCAATATACTAAACAAAATCCTGTATCTGGTATGACGTGTAGTTAGGCCCGCCCCTACTACAGGGGCGGGCCTAACTACACGTCATACCATATACAGGTATGAACTACAGAGTAACGAAAACCAAGATTTTCCGGCCGGCAAAGCAATATACTGAACGAAATCCTGTATCTGGTATGACGTGTAGTAAGTATTGATGGTATATATGAATGTATATCTGTACTTTTTAGTTTCACAATTATTGATGGTATATATGAATGTATATCTGTTATAACAATTTTGGGCACACTGATCCACACCGATTTTTCGTTGATTGATTTACTATATTTCACTGATCACAGTTTACTGTTAAGTTAAACACATCCATTTAGTTTGTTTATTATTCTTGTTGGCGCTGCATAGTTAGAAACTCATATGATTTGACCCAGGTGTCTATATTGCTGCAGCCTTCAATTAATTTAAATAATTTAACTTAATTAATTCAACTAATTCACTATAGTACATTTTTTGGACACAGTATTTTTGTTTCACATATCCAGCGCAGAATCAATAAACACATATAGCACATTACAGTATTGTTTTATGTTAAAAAAAAATCTGAGGGTTTAATGTCACTTTAAGGAAAAACGTAACTCTAAGGGTCACTTCACACCCATTACGGCGCGTTCCAGAGCTGTAGCTGCTGGAACGCACAGCAATCGCACAATAAACTCCCCCCTTCGTTCTGGGGCAGGAGGTGGCTGGCGATGCATTGAAGTCAATGGCAGCGCAGCCACGCCCCCCGCCCGCAGTGCAATCGAACGTGTGGCAAAACATTGCCTGCTTTCCGGTCCAGTGCGAACGCAAAAAATGCTGCATTTTTCTTGCGTTCGCACTGGACCGGACTAGACTAAATATCTATATAGGTCTAGCCATCATATGGCCACAATCTACTGGATGCCGACCCCGTCCACAAGCATCTGGTTCCAGTGGGAGCTTGGAGTGTTGACAGAGCTTCACAATGATCTCAACAGGATTATGAAATGTAAGGTTTAACTAAAGATCTAGGAATCAGGACTTCCTTCCTCCTGCTGTTCATCCTTCTAAAGATCTATACAGGGAAATCAGGACCTCCTTCCTCCTGCTGGGGATCCCTCTAGTGATAACTAAAATTGCAACAACAAAAAAAAGGGGGGAGGAGTTACGCTAGTGTATAAACTAATATACCAATCTACAGGGTTTCAAACAACTATTCACAAAAACGTTCCCCCAAAAATTAGAAATCCCTTCTAAAAAGATTGGTTCAACACAGGTAAATCAAAATTGATACAATATTTAATAGTAGAAAAAGACATATACAATAAACTCATGTACCAGAGACATTTAAAAACACTTAAAACATTCCACTGGATATATCCTGCATGATTATAACAATTGTTGCCTAAAAACCACCTGTGTGGTAAAGGACCATCTATGCAGGTTTCTGGATGATTGAAGTACTTTTCAAAAGAAAAAGATCTATATAGAGGTATAAGGACCTCCTTCCTCCTGTTGATGATCCCTGATGCACGCCAGAATTCTATTTGTTTTCCTCACTTTCTAGCCACCCTATTTGCTCATTTTGCAATCATATGAAATAAGCACCCTCCAAATATTTTTCTTATGTATTTCTGGTCAACAATGTATCCCCCAATATTGTACTATATTAGAAGATTATTTATCCCTAAATGAATTATTTGTTTGCATTGCTTTGAACCATCTTCCACCTATGCCACTCATGTTCTATGTTACAAACCTCTCCAGGGCGATGAACCCCATTGCACACCTAGGTGTCATTAACAAACAGACATACCTTAGTCATCCAACCTTCAGTTATATCACTTACAAACAGATTATTTAGAACAAGACAAAGTACAGAGCCTTGTGGTAAGCCACTAGTGACTGGTCTTTGTTTCAAATGAACCACAATATTTCCAACATATCAACTTCTTGTAATGAAATGTCATTTCAGATGTACGTCCCCAGTGTATTACATTCTGTGGGTATGGATAAGGAACCCCATCGAACCTATGGAACTATGGAAGAGCAGACGGAACCTGTCACTACAGACGACCGGCAAGCATTTTTTGATGAATCCTGAGCACAATGTAATGACCAGGAATTGCCACAAGAGGGAGACATTACTCCTGTAAAAATCTCCAGTATGAAATCATGTGTTTAGAGGAGAAAGAACATATAAAATGATTTTTGACTTTGCAACTCTTCCTGGGCCAGTTAGGTCACAAATGGAAAATAAATCAAGCGATGGAATGTCTTTAAGGATTGGGTATTGTAACAGAAAAATATTTTGTGAGGACCAGAATTTGTTACAATCTGGAGCAAGCAGTGTTCACAGCTGTTCGTGCACAGTACTACTTTTTTTTTTTTTTTTTTTTTTTTTTTTTTTTTTTGTCTTTTTGCATTAGTAGAGACTGGTGATATTTAAATGAGGGAAAAATCTTTTACTGTGTGATTAGCACACCGAATGTGCCAAAGAAAAACCTGAGAAGCACAGTTGGAATTAACGTCTTCCCTGGGATACTACAGTTCTGTTTAAATGAACTCAATAAGGTCAATATGTTTCACTGTAATAAATATATCAAGATATTTTTTTATTGAAAATGTTGGACATTTGT